CCAAACTTTGAAAAACAATTTTCCAAGAAACATTTACCAAACTTTGAAAACCATTTTCAAAAAAACATTTACCAAACTTTAAAAACCATTTTCAAAGTTGATTGCAACCTTTGGACTTTTAACAGAAAAGTGCCATGTTACGTTGTATGATAAGGCCGTCGTGGCCATCTCTAACCTTTAGGTGGCTCTCTCTTATGCTTCTTGGGGTGCCTTCCCAGATGAGTTTCCTACCATTTCCCCCAGCTTCTAGGCTGTAACCGTAGTTGCAAGCTTCGATCTCATCGCCCATGAAAGAAGGAATGCCATACAAACAGGGGCCATCCCGAGCTGGAAGGCTTCGAAATGAAGACAAAAGTACTGGCCAAAACAGTGGAATACCTGAACATACATGACAAAAGATACAAACCATTTCATGTTCGGGAAATTAAAAGAAACTAATATACTTTGCAATTTCAGGGCTGGAAATTTTGAATAACTGGCAACGAGCATCCATCGACATCATGTTCTTCGTTATCAACATCAAAGAAGATTAGGAAGGATTACATAGTTAAATATATATTTCCATTATATTTTTTAAAGAAAGTAAATCGCCAAACTGATTCAGTGAGGCAAAGAGACCAAGCAGAAAAATGGAGTTTTACATTTGGCAAGACCATGTTGCATAAGAATGAAATAGACTACCAGCAAGATGTACATCTCATTTTCATCATCTATAAATTATACATAGCTCAATTCTTAATCAGAAGGAAGGCGTTTTAAAATGAATGTAATTCACCGTAAGCATCCAGGTGGCGTTTTCTACTTCCCGAGGATTGTATTTGACGTAGCGATGGTTAAATGTACATTCAGAATGCATGTCCACCTTGTGGTCATCCCTTAGATGAGCAACAAGAAATGAAATATCACCAAAAACGGAACATTCTGATCCAGAATATGAGCAATTGTATGGCCTGAAGTTACATAATGCTTCGTGTTAGAGTTTACTGTGGTACAGTGGGCATCCAAGCGATGTATGTTTGCAAGGCAGTTCATGTGATTCAGTTACCTTCTCTAGTGCTAGACACCTAACATCACCAAGCTCCTGTCTACAAGTAGGACACCGATTGTGTACCTTGTTTTACAGGCTAAACAGAGGGTATGCCCATTGTGGTACTAAGGTACAACAAATAGTTAAAACACCTATAATAAGGTCCCAAATTGTTTTGAGAAGGTAGATTCGCTCCGCATAAGACAATGAGAATTCCAGTCCTATTGAAATGTTCAATTTAAGTAATTGGTACAACTTGTGAACCATTTTCTGATCAATATGTTCTATCAGAACACAACAGGGGAAAACATAGAAACATGCAGGTGCAACTTGTCTAAACCAAAACAAAAAAAAAAATACAATATGCCAAACTTTGGCACACGACGAACGAAACAAGGGTGTTCTAAGCATCAGCAGAGCTTTATGTCAAAAGCCTAACCAGCCACCTCATCCTCAGAAAGAATGAACAGTATTTACTTGATTTCAAGGCAATGCTTCATCTAATGCAATGCATACAGTTGCGAGAACGATGAATGAAACAACAGACCCTAAGACACTCTTCAATTACTATAGTTATAAACACATTTTTTTATCAGCATTCTTACCCTGTAGAAGAAATTATTATTCTAATTTTTTCTGTGAAATTAAGCAACTTGAAAGACATATCACTGGTTTGTCTTACGAAACATCCTAGTGAACTCTCGTGGGAATCGATATGGATTCATATATTTTCCTAACTGGATAGCATTTAGTTTTCTTTTCAATTTGACCTTCTTAGCTTCCAGAAAATCACTTGAAACTTCACATTTCTAATATCCTTCCCATAAGCCCATAACAAACATGTACACAGGTCACTTCTGTTTACAATTCATAGATTGCTATGCCAGATCGGAAAAGACATCGTTATGAATAGAGGGCCAGATAGGTAGAAAGCTAAAGTGTTGATTTCTCACAATTAGAATGTGATCAGTTCATCGTCCTTTTGTATTTGCTCCTTTTCTACACTAGTCATAGAAAAGCTATCAAAGTTCATCATTATATGCCGAAGGGTTCTCATGTTTACTTCATCGATCGATAAAAACCGAGACAGTAGGCAACTCATAGAAAGGGCTGATAAGAAAAGCAAGACAAAGAATTCATCTTGATGAAACAGTGGACCGTACTTCTAAGTAAACCATCAAAACCGAACTAAAGAATTCCAAAAATCGAATTCCCAGAACATGTAACTTTAGACTGATGCCATGCTCAATTCAGCCTCTCCAACACAAGTACAACCCCACATCAATGAATCAATTAAACAAAGTCTCCCAAAAATAACATACAAGGCAACAAGTTTCAACAATCTTAGTACTATTCTAACCCGATAAAACACAGATCCAACATAAGAGATTAAACTTAAAGGAATCACTCAAACCAGGAAGTGACCATAAGAACCAAGAAAAAAGAAAGAAATCCAAACTATTCAAACCCCGAAAAGAAAGTGATTTCTCTCCAAGAAAAGAGGAACCCACAAAAGAAACTGGATTAAAGACTGACCTGATGGATAGGAGGGTACATAGAATTGGTACAGACAGGACATTCAAGGAGTTCATGAACACTGGTGGTACTTGGATGAACCGCTGATGACACAGCACTCTTATTGTTGCTACGGGGCTTCGACAATGGAGGCAGCTGGTTCTGATGATGGATCTCATCATCATCAATCACATCTGAAGATGTCATACAATCTATGCTATCTTATTCCATACGAAAGGAGATAAAAAGCAATCAAATTTGATCTGCTATTCCACAATGGGTATAACAACAACAACAATCAGGGTTTTAAAAAATGGTCCGCGACCGTGATTTCGGCTCCGACATAGCAATTTCGTCGCCGTCCTAGTTATCCGCGACGGCCGCAATAGCTCTCGCGAAGATCGTAATAGCGCTCGCGAAGGTCGTAATAGCGCTCGCGACGGTCGCAATCACAGTAAATTCGAAATAACATAAACGCGACCGTGATTTAAAATCTTGACAACAACAACAACAAAACTCTATTCCCATATAATATACAATGAGATAAAGGGAGGTAGGGTAGTAGGCTGTCCCAATGTCAGGTTGAGAATAAGTTACGTGGAAATTAAAAGTAAAGATAAAATGCAATGTATGTATAAATAAATAAATATATAAATAAATCCCGTAAATAAATCCCTACTTAAAAGTCTCTGTCTATAGACAGAAACGTAAGATCCGACTAAATTTAAAGAGAGGAAATATAAAGATAAGAATACGCAGAAATCAACGATAATAAATTAAAAGAAGAAATAAAGTCAAATGGTTAAAAGCTAAGCTAAGGCTCCGTAGCCCTAGAAGGTCTTTTCTTTGGATGTGGGATGGCGATTCAGTTTTTTTGAGTTAAATCGAAGAGCAAACAAAGAATGAACTGGGTTGAACCTTATAAAAGATTAATTGAATCTAGATTCTATACAGGAAGGGAGAAAGGGGAAAAAAACTACCATTTGGAGTCTCTTTTGCTTTTCTTCATCGGTAAGTGTCACCGTCTATATTTCCAGAGAGACAAATGATCAACATCAAAGGGTTTCAGGTTAAAGAGAAAGCTTTACTAAAAAAGGTCAAAATTATTAGGATACCAGTTCTTTTCCATTTGAATGATACCAGTTCTCTTCCATCTGAACGATGAACTACTGCGTCTAGTAGCATTTACGTAGTATTAAAGGATTCAAAGTTTTCAACTTTTCAATAGTTAAACAGCCTTTGTTAAAAAATATATGTATATATAAAGAGCTTGGAATATGATTTTGCGGTGAGTTGTCTCCATTACCCCGATCATGTTCTTGGCTGCTTGCTATATATTTACTGCTAGTGGGCGCTGCTCATTAAATTCTTTCCATCTCAACCATGTCTAAGCCACGACTTGGATTAAGTTTATTGTATGGGGTGGGTGAAACCTTTTCTATTTCTATATATATATATATTTTCCTAAAAATCCATGTTATATTAGATATTTATTAATTTTCGTATGTATTTTTATTTTTGTAACAATTAATTATTTTAGTATGATCGAATATATGTTACTTTGAATTTAATTGATTTATTTATTTTTAAAATTTTAAAGAAAAATTTTGAAGCCCAATACCACCACTTTAGTATTTAAGAAATGCGGTGGGATATGACATGAGTTGAAACCAGGCTCAAATTCATGTCATGGTGAAAGCCTGGTGTTTATTTAGGATGGAGAAAAATGTACTCAATGATTTTTGCTTGAGAATTTATCCTATTTTTGGCAACCGAATATTCAAAATGGGATGTCTCTCTCAGGTCAACATCATTGTTGTCATGGTCGTATATAAATATTGGGATAACAATAGCATAAAGAGGTGACTTGGGATCAACGTTACTTAAACTTCAGAGAAATCAGGCTAATCAGCACCAAACAATTCTAACCCTGTAAATGTTGATTTTTTTTAAGTGAATACATGAATTAATTGAATTAAACTTGAAGTTGGTACTTTTATATTTACTGGTTTGATAAGGAAGGTCACCTGCTCACCCTACTACATTAACTAATACCATCGGTCGCCATCCAATCTGCCATATAAACTAAGCAAAAAAAAAAAGAACAGTTCCAACCTTCTTCCTATGTCCCAAGTCCGAGCTGGCTTACAAAATATACCTTTTGGTTCCTCCTGGTTTTGTATGTAAGGAACATTATAGCAATTTGTGTCCTGGAAGAACTTGTATTGTACCTATCCAAATGATGTAAACAGTTTTATGGACACTACATCTTATGTCCTAGGCCGGATAAATCATGAAAATATATAACTCCATAGCTTTCTTAATTTGTTTTTGACAGAAAATTACATGGCAGAATCATTTTCCATACAAGCAATCAACCTGCATGAAGTTGTCATTGGAGTTTTTGTCAAGCAGTCCCTGCTCAATTTCCAGTCAATATATCAGATGGAGTTAGCAATGAGAGAAAATCTCCTTTATTGTATAAAACACTGGCCTAACATTCTAGCTCTTTATTTATTTCCAAGAATATGTAAAATGAAATCCTCAAAAACTGAGTAAAACACGTGAATGTCACAAAACTGACAATACAATGACTCTTTGCTTAAATGTTTCATCATACCTGATTCACAATGGTACAACTAGATTCCTCAAGCTCGAAGAGGAATTTGATTGAAATAGCTTCATTAATGCAATGAATATTCAATCAGTTTGTGCTTTATATATTCGCACGAACACCATTGAAATTGTTTGACCAGTACTTGCCCAAGGATTTATCGGCATGGCCCTTCAAGAAATGCCTGCATACTCAATAGGAAACCATCTACCATTGATTGGGAAAGGCTTCTTTATAAGTTGCATCCTCACCCTGGGTCATCTGTCTTATTGTTGCATCTATTGCCCTGGTGTTTAGAAGCCTCTGAGCTAACCTATCTTTTGTCGTAACTTTCTTCCGCAGCATGGATGCCAGAGTTTGTTTGTTTCTTCTCCCCACTGACCTCTCTCCAATAGTCTCCTCCATGTCTTCTCCAAAAGCTGCTGATATTGATGTTGAAGCCATTGCAGCGTCACGAAGAACAACTTCATTGTGTTCCCGAACTTTAGCAAGCTTTTCCCGCTTTAATGACTGTTTTGCAAGTTTTCTCTTCCTTGCTTCCTCTTTATCTCGCTCCCTAACATTATTCACAGCTTTTTTTGCCAACTGCTCTGCTAAACCAGAGCCTAAATCAGGATCTGTATTATCTGTTGAAGAATTCTGATTGATTGGGTTTCCTGCATCATCTCGAGATATAATGGGCCCATGAAATGGACAAATCTTCAAATCTCTTCTCTGACAAAGTCCACCTTTATTCAAAGGTGCACGGCACGGTTGGATTTCTCCCAACTTTTCCAGGTAAATAGTAGCCTGAAGATTCAATTCAGCAATTTTCTCAGCTGGAATCACAGCATCATAATCTACTCTTCCCCAGTGATTGTCAAGCTCCAAGCCTTTCTGATTTGCTAATGTATCCCTATTAGAGACTGAGCCCCAATTATCCAAGAAAGAACCCCAATTGAGAACTGGAGCTTCGGCCAAAAGGTCACTCCAGACAGAATTTTCAGGTCCCAGAATCTCTTTGCCCTTAGAACTCAAGTTACCGCGTTCTTTATCTTTGGCTTTCACCTTGCTTGAAGCTGGAAGTTTAGCAAGATTTTCGCTTCGATTATTGGATTTCTTGGAATTCCTATCCTCAACAGATCTACTTTTCTCATCTGCATTAGAACTTTCTACCTCCTTACGCTTCTCAGGTTCAGTAGTAGCTCCATTGTTGGTTGATCCAAAGTCACCTTCCTCCCAGAAATCTTCCTCCTCCTCTTCTTTATTTTTTGCAGTTTTGGGTAAAGCACAACCAGATTCTTCACAATCCTTCTTCACAGACATAAGACTGTTCCGTATATCAATCAACTCCTTTAGCATGGAATCTCGTGACCTGTTGTCAGCCACTTCAACCCTTATGAGAATAGAAATGCTTTCTTGTACTGAAACCAGATGCTTAGTCACTAAAAGCTTATACAGCTCTCTTAATGCATCGAAAACCACTTTGTTATCATTGTTCTCATGTACTTTTTCTCCTTCCTTCAATGAGTCAAGGCGGATCTGCCTCAATTCAGCAGAACGAAACTCTACAAAATCTTCATCATCCAATAGGATGGGAGGCACACATTCCTCTTTAGTACGAACAATATCTAAACATTGTCTAATCTCATCAACCGTAGCCCGTATTTCTTCCTTAACAGAACTAAAATTCGTCTTCAGTGTTTCAAACTTGTTCTGTAAAATCTCCCGAGTCCTTCTCTCCCTTTCCCTTCTCTCTCGTTCTATTCTGGCCTCGGTCTCCTGAAGATTAGGAAATTGAAACCTGAGAGTATTCTTAAGATAATCAAAACCTAATCTAAGCTGCCTGTAATGAATCCCAAAAGATGCATTCCACTTCTCCAAGAACTCAATTGCCTTAGAACGCAAAGTGGAAGCAATTGCTGAAGGAGCTGGGAGTGGCATATTTCTTCTAAACCCAACACTTAAGGCCAACAACTGATCTAACTTCTCAACCACAAGGGTTCTGAAAAGCTTAGACCGCATGAAAAGCTCATCGATTATAAGAAGCGTGAGATAACGAACCTGCAATCACAACTCTCATAAGCTAAAATTCTCTCAACACCAGTCTCTTTGGATTTTTGTTTTCATAATTTATAAAACTAAATGAATTATAATTAAAAGGAACAGATCCGAAATTTCAATTCAAAAATAAAAACTAGAAACTCTTGAAATCCGACTGCACAACATGCATAAAGGAAACTAAAATTGGATTAAAGCAAGGGGGAAACCCGGAAATGTAGCTGAAATCAAAATATGTTTTTTAGAAACTCATTGAAGAAGGATGGATAGAAGGACCTGGGAATGATCGCGCTTCATGAGGTCCATGAGGGTATGGGCCGCCAGTCGGAGTTCCTTATCGGATGAACGGACCACCGATTTGATTGCTTTGAGGAAGCGTGGATCAACCTCGGAAGCCGTCGAGTTTGTAGCTTTTTCTATCAAAGTCCCAACTTTTCCTCGCTCCTCCATCTCCATCGCCATTCCCCAATCGTATCAGTTCTCTAATTTTTCTCTCTTAATTTTTTTCTTCAAAATCCCAAATTTATAGCCTCTGTTAATTTTCAACAGTCAACTGGATAGAGGCGGTTTCTGAGCTTAAAACTTGATATACGTGGCATTTCATTAAGCAGACCTTCAAGATGGCTAAGGATGACAAATGACCGTGTCGGGTGCGCGGATACTCTCCATCTTTATATCTATCTAATATTTTTAAATTTACCACTCGTTTATTATTTTTGATAGATAAAAAATTTTAAATCCACACCTGTCTAAGCGGGTAAATTCTCAAATACATCCTCACACTCACTACCCAACTGGAGACGTATCCGACTAGACTCGCCTGACAACAACCTTAAGTTATACATAAGCAACAAACATAAAACAAACACATTCATTAAGAAGCATAATAAAATAAACTAAGGATTATCTGAGTTAAGTGTTAACATAGATTTTAAAGTACATAAATTACAAGTTATATCTTATACAATATTAAGATTTATAAATTAGTCTCTAAAATTATACATAAATTCATAATTGTCCAAAATTTAATGAGTATTTAGTGGGCGGACGGATATGGGGTGGGCAGATAGAGGGCGGGCGGATACGGGCCGAGTAAGGTCTCAAACTCATCACCCGCCCACTACCCGCGACGGGTGCCACTTTATAAATCCACACCCGCCCACTACCCACTAAAATTATACTCATCCCCGCCCCAATTGGAGTGGGCACGATACGAAATCCACAAAATTATACCCGTTTATCATCCTTATGACCCTTTCGGCATTCAAAATCTTAACCCAAATGGGTAAATGTTACCGCTAGCTCTCTAAGAATAGGTTCAATCTTGAGTAGGTCAATTTAAACAAAATTATATTAATTATTTTACCATATAAAGCTTGACTAGTTTAAGAATTACTATTATTATTTGTGGTTCAGGGTTCGAAAACCAAAATTGTCAGAAAACGTAAGCATTTAATGTCAAATGATTGATAGTTCTTTTAGAATAGATGTTTTATTATACTTACTCCAGATTTATTAGAATTTTGGTATCCTAATGCTTAATTATTGTATCCATCAAAATTGATTCATGTAATAAACTAATGTATTTTAAAGTTAAATTACGTTGGATATTATTACTTAACTTTTAACATTATATTGTTTATACCATTAAATTTAAAATTTGTTAATTATAGTACTGAACTGAAATTTTCATTTAATAAAATTTGAATAACACGTTAACCTGAACCTAGAATAAATTAATCTTAAATTCATATCATAAGTTTATAAAGATTTTGAAATTTTGTTACATTGAGATTTCCACGTTTATTTATGTTTTGGGGACCAACGTGATTGTAGGTTCTTTTATAGATATTACGATTTTGGATAATTATTGAATTTAGGTGTCGAAATTACCATTCGTCATAAAATTGAAATATACGTAAATAGACACTCTCAGTCTCAGACATTTATTATGAGAGTTCATATTACTTATATAACTGGTGTGTTTAAAATCCGACTTCATATTATAAATAAAAAAATATTTTTGAGAGAATTTAGATTTTGATCATCTCAAATTTTAACAAATTTAAATATTTTAAATGGTAAGTTGTGAATTATTTTTTAAAATAGATTACGTATTTAATATTTAGATTATCTATTTTGATTTATTTTAATATTTAATTTTTTTATTTTTAAAACTATATTATAATTTGACTTTTGTTTCATTGTAATACTTATGTTCAAAATTTAACATCAATTTTTAAAAAAATATTGAATGTTTACAGTGAAGTATTAAATGAAATAAAAACTACACATTAGATATAATTTTGAAAAAATTAAAAATTTAAACACTAAAACGAATCAAAAACTGATAGTTTAGGAACTAAATACGTATTCTATCGAAAAAATATTAAACTCAGTAATGAGTAAGTAAAACACAACTTAACTCGAAAAATCAAATTTTTAACTTAACTAAAGAAGAAAAAACTCAATCCCAATTGACTTCAAATTATAATTTGACTTTAAAAAATTAAGATCAAATCGAGTTATAAAATATAAATTTTTAATAATTAATGGTTTAATTTTTAAGTTTGAATAGAATCAATCGACTATATATCACACATGAAAAAAAAATGTGAAGAAGAAATACATATGTATTGTATATGATTATAAAAAATCATTTAGATTGGAATATAATTATATCATAATATTATAAATATTTATAATTAAATCTAAACAAAAGTTTAAAAATTCGACTTCACTAGAATTTTATATACCCGACTTGAAAAATTTTCAAACCAAGTTCGAATTGTAAAATAAGACTCGTCAAGTCGAATAATTTTAAAAAATTTACTATACTCGATCGATCGCTCATACCCGGTTGAAAGAGTACCACAATTGTGAGAGAGCATCAGGGCACAGAAGAGTTAAAGAGAGAAAAAAGTGGAAAGTGTAACCAAATGCTTACAAAACCCAAAACATCTTCACTGTCAAATTTCATACCCCCGAAACATGATTCTCTAGCTTATCATAGATTCTGTTTCAATTGGACAAATAAGTTTCCTTTTTTCTCAAAATGGCATAGCAGAGTATACCCATATTTAAAAGACTAGGGGTAAATAAAGAAAAAATGAAGGAAGGAAGGGGGAATCAGTTTCTAAAGCAACCAACAAGGCATAAGTTGGTTAAACTTAAAGTTTAACATTTTAAGTAATCCTGCAAATATACCTCACTATGGCATAATATATAATATAAACAATCACACACAATTTGCTGCTGCACTACCTTGTATGTCAAAAACCTTTGAAGGAGCTTCGAATCTCGTTCCCTTGCTATAATTTTTTAAATCCTATGGACTGTTTTAAATGCAACCGAGCGTGCTATCCATGCGATGAAAATGGCTTCAAGGAATTCGGTTCACCTGAAAATGCGGCTATCAACTGTTCCCTTGTTAGAGGTTCCGGTCCGTGAGACTTGATCACAAATGTATGGAACACGGTATCATCTGTTGCAACAAGTTTCGAGTCGACTATATTAATCTGTGCCTCTTTGAATGCTTGGATTACTCTTGATGCAGGATGTGAATCTAAAGGGCAGTTAACTCTTACAACAACTGCTCCATCAACAGCTTGTACATCGATATCAGGAGCACGGCTATGACTCTCTACGGTTATATTAGGATCCAACCCTGGTGAAAGTCTTGAAGTACTACCAAACTTCTCCCTCTCTGCTTCCATGGCCTGAAGTTTTGCTTGAAGCTCATTGATGTAAGCAATTGCGTCTCCTAACAATGAAGCTTTGTCCATCTTTGATATGTTGGGCACAACGGCTCGCAAGGCATAGAACCGTTGGTTCAGCTTCTCACGCCGCTGCCTCTCTGCTTCAACATGATTAAGAGCTTCTTCTCTTCCATTAGCAGGCTTCCTACCTCTTTTCCTGGGCTTCCTCTCATCAGCTGCACTCGGCTTCTCTTCCTTGCATGGTGCTTCGAGATCCGAGTGTTCAGATTCAGCACCCAATGGCTGAGTACTCATGTAAGGCCTTGACGTAGCCCCAGAGAAATCAATCTGCTTTTGAACTGGCTTTTGTGACTGATGATGGTTAAACCGAAACTCATCCCGAGCCTCATTGGCAAACTCTTGAAACTCTATTGGGCTCCCTTGTTTCACACCATGAACATGTGACCAATTATGACCATTTTGATTACTTGAAAATGAAAGCCTACCTCCATTAACATGTGCTCCCCATGTCGGTCTAACAGCAAGTTTCTCCCGATAACTGGATCGACCATTCGAAGTGTTGTTCAGATCCTGCCCAAAAATCTTGGGAATGCCTTGAAATCTCTCCACAATTGTCGAATTCAAAACAACAGTATTTTCATCGTTCTTCTCATGCACCATTGGCATTGCTACTCCCACTTGCAATCCCTCCACAATAGCTGAATTCAAAATAATGTTCTTCTCATGCACCAACGGCATTGCTACTTCCAGTTGCCTTTCCCGAAACAATGCCGACTTAGATGAGAATGAACTTACTATCGATTGCAACAACTCTAAGCTTTCAGGTACCAGTCTCACGGATCCCAATTCAACAACACCAACATCAGTAGGGACCAAAACAATGGTCTGAACTCCAGCAGACCTTGTCAAAAAGGACCGAACACAATAATCAGAACCCGACTTCAAAGCATCCATAATCCAAACATGTTTCCCAGACGCAAAACATTTACCCGGACCACCTTCTCCTGGTGGAAAAGAAAAGTACATGGATGCTAAAAAGAACATCTCAGTATCAGTAACCTTATCCAAACCAAGTGCGTAATTATCCTCGTCTGATCCACCAAAAACATCGTGCAATTTCTGCAAAACAGTTTTCCTCATCTTCTGCTGAGTCTCTTCTTCGAGCCGCAGATTAAGAATCCGAATAGCTTCATATTCTTCTCCTTGTTTAGGCTCTCTGCAACACCCATCTCCCCAGCCAAGGACCCAACCGCTCGAATCGGACCGCGAAATTTGCCAAAAATGGCATAGTTCCAGCTAAAGTTAGAGGCGTTGGGTCGGTCCACGAGATCTGAGAGCTTGTTTTGAAGATTCTCGTCACTACATACGGACATCAAAAGGTTCTCATTCGAAATCGAGCTTGACATCAAGTAGTCAAATGCTTTTGTTCCTAAAACAGAGGCAATAATTGCCTTCTCTTCATCCTTCCATGCTTCACCCCCCATTCCCACTTCAATTTCCATCCCCTAAACTACCTCAATAAAACTGAATAATCAATGAAGATGCAATTTTCAACAAATACCCAAATCAAATCTCACCCCTTAAAACAATTAAAAAATAAACAAATCTTTTCCTCAATGCATTTCTAACTAAACTATAACCACCAGGAGGCTTTCTTTACATGAACAATATAAAGCAACCATTTTTTTTCATTTCCAGATCTCACGGTCCTGTAAAAATAATCAAGAGAACCCAAAAAAAATTCAATCAAAGCGTAAAAAAAGAGAGGCGGTAATACACACCGGTTTAGAGGGAAAAGCAAGT